CTGTAAACCACTCATTTCAATGAGATGGGTGGTAACAAATCTGAGAAGAGAAGAGAAGAGAAGAGAAGAGAAGAGAAGAGAAGAGAAGAGAAGAGAAGAGAAGAGGTGAAGAAAACAAGTATCACTGTGTCATATAAAGCACTGGGGGGGTTTTGTATGTTTGTTTGTTTTTATAATTATTTTTAGATAATTCAAGTCAGTGTTGACGCCTGGCAACTGCTTAGACCAGTCCCTGCAGTTTTCTTGGCAAGATTTCAGAAGTGGTTTGCCATTGCCTTCTTCCTAGGGCTGAGAGAGGATAACTGGCCCCAGGTCACCAGCCAACTTTGTGCCTAAGGCAGGACTAGAATTTACAGTATCCCATTTTCTAACCTGGTGCCTTAACCACTGCCCCAAACTGGCTCTCAAATCATTGTTTTAATTTATCTAAAAATAATTATATTTTATTATTAGCCTTTCCATAAGTCTAATCCCTTGTGAAGGGATTCTCCAATAAAAAATACCTGTTACAAGAAGTGTATGTTAGAAAAAAATACACCAAAAATGGACATATTCATAAAAATAACATTAAAAATGCATTAGGTAAAATTGCTTGCAAAGAATATGTATGGTAGGAAAAACTGCATATAAAATCCATATAGGCAACTTTCAGCTCAAATGCCATGTGACTAGACTTCTAACCATATAAAAGTTCTTCCCTTTTTTCTCCATCCTCTGATTCAGTAACTGAATTCTACATCCTTAATGAGTTCTGGAGAGCATTTCACACCACCCCAACCTTCATGCATGCAAACTTCTTCATGCATATTCTCACCTGACCAAGAAAGTAAATTCCTCCGCCAACTATGAAAGCTGAAATAGCTGTCCCAATCACAGAAAACAAGGTGATGGAGCCTATGTTCTGGAAGAAGTTCCCCTAAAATAAGAAAGTATGGGGGAGACATAACAAAAGTGAGTTGTGAAAGGGCTTTAAACCAAAAATCACCTGAAATCAGGGTCAGGACTCAGCATCCAAACATACGTAATATTTAATGTTGTACGTCATGCAATTGGGGCAGGAACTAAATTCAATAAATTAATACATGGGTTGGAGAAGAATCATATACATCTAGCATGAACAAATGGACTTTCAGATCCAGGGACATTACTATCTATGCATACTGAAGTTCACCTTTGCTTTCTTCTTTCTTGTTTGTTTGATAAGGTTGCACTACTCCATGATGACTCTGGACAGCTTACAAAAGGTAAAAACCATATAATGAAGCAGAAAAGAGAGGGCTGACCCTCCAGAAGAGAAAACCATCCAGTTCAACAGAAAAAAATCCTGTAAGTGGCTCACCACCCACTATAACCCAAGACCTGGGAGAAAAGCCATGTATTTGTTTGTTTGTTTTCAAATTTATATATCCATCTCACTGTACAAATGACTCTAGATGCTGTTACAAGTAAAAAACAATAAAATCTTTGAGAAAATGTACAAGTTAAAAACTACAAAAGGTTAAAATTAAAACTAAAAAGTTAAAACTACAAACTAAAAAGGTGGAGAGAGCATCCTCAAGCTACCAACCACCCCCAGTGCTGCGAATCCTTGTTGGGTCCTCATGCAAGTTGGCAGAGTCAGGTCTTGATGCCCTTTCGGAAGGCCAACAGAGTGGGAGCCAATCTCACCTCAGGGGTCAAGATGTTCCGGAGGGTGGGAGCCACGGCAGAGAAGGCTCTCCTCCTGGACCCCACCAGTCTCTAGGCGACAAGGTCCATAACATACCCTTTCCGCCCAACCAGGTGGGATGGGTCGTGATGGGGACAAGACGGTTCCTCGGGTATCCAGGGCCCATGCCATGAAGGGCTTTAAAGGTTATAATCAACACCTTGAATTGGACCTGGAAGCAGACCAGTACCCAGTGCAACTTGCACAGCAGAGGTGTTACATGTGCAGTCCTAGAGGTGTACATAACTGCCCGTGCCACCGCATTCTGCACTAGCTGCAGCTCCCGAATACTTTTCAAGGGTAGCCTCATGTAGAATGTGTTGCAATAGTCCATATGGGAGATGGCCAGGGCATGAGTGACTGAAAGAAGGGCCTCCCAATCCAGGAAAGGGTGCAACTGGCACAGAACACAGAGTTGAGCAAAGGCCCTCCTAGCCACAGCTACCACCTGCTCCTCGAGCAGGAGTCACAAGTCCAGGAGGACCCCCAGATTGTGCACTGGGTCGGTCTGGGGCAGTGGAACCACATCCAGAACCAAAGATGGTAAGACCCCAGATATGGAAAAGCCCCGAACCCACAGCCACTCCACCTTACCAGGGTTCAGCTGAAGCCTATTGCTCCCTATCCAGACCCCACAGCCTCTAGGCACCATGAAAGAACATCCACAGCATCACTATATTCACCTGGGACAGAGATGTATAATTGAGTATCATCCGCATACTGATGATACCTCATCCCATGGTGATGGATGATCTCACCCAGCAGCTTCATGTAGATGTTAAAAAGGAGCAGAGAGAGCACCAAGCCCTGCAGCACCCCACAAAGCAGGGGCTGCAGGCTGGACCTCTCATTCCCTAATGAAGCAAACTGGCAGCTCACAAAGCAGAGGTGTAATACGTACTCTTCCAGGAGCACACATAACTGCCTGCGCCACTGCATTCTGTACCAATTGAAGCTTTCGAATATTCTTCAAGGGCAGCCCCATGTAGAGTGCATTACAGTAGTCCAATCTGGAGGTGACTAGGGCATGAGTGACTGTGAGCAGAGCCTCCCGATCTAAAACCCAGGCCTGAAACCCGACTGGAAGGGATCCAGATAATCCATTTCATCCAGGATCCCCTGGAGCTGCAGCACCACCACCTTCTCTATCACCTTCCCCAAGAAAGGGAGGTGAGAGACTGGACAAAAAATGTCCATTGTTTTGAATGACCTTTTAAACTAAGGCAGTGTAGGAACAATATGAATTTCTGGGGGAATGCTGTTCCAGAGGGCAGGCTCAATGACAGAGAAGGCCTACTTCCTGGATCCTATCAGATTACATTATTTGATCATGGGACCTGAAGCATGCCACTTTTGTCTGCCCAGGCCAACACACACATAGACATATAATCGTTAGGTTACTAATGCTTTCCATGGTTAGCTGGGGTGAGTTTGAACCTGTCATTCCTGAATAAGTGGACAGGGACATTGGGGTTACAAACAGGGCCACCTGTTTATTAGATCCATGCCTCTCCTAGCTGATGAAGGCCAAACAGGAGGTGACATGGTTGGGTCTATGCAGTAATGGAAAGAAATTATCAGAGATAGCCAGTTACGGAAAGAAACTCCTGGAGATTGTCAGGCACTATGCCATGAAGGGCTTTATACCAACACTCTGAATTTCATGCAAAAGCTAACTGTCTCATGAAGCAGAGGAGTTACATGAGCATACCACGGCATGTCCATTGTGAACAACTTGAAGCTTCCAAGTAGTCTTCAAGGGGATCCTCATGTAGAAAACTTTGCAAAGGACATGAATAACTATTTGGAAGACCTCCCTGTCTAAGAATGGGTGCAACTGGCACACGAGATGGAGCAGTGTGAAGTCCTTTCCAGCCATAGCTTCCACCTGCTCTTCGAGAGGAGCTGTGAATCCAGGAAAAACCCAAGGTTGCACACCAGTTCCAAATGGGGAGTGCTGCTTCATCCAAAACTAAATATAGATATTCTCCAGGATCATGGCCCAATATCTACATCCACTTGGTCTTGCTAAGGTTGACCCTGAATCTTCCTCCCCATCCAGACCCTCACAGCCTCCAAACACTGGGCAAAACCTTGACAGCATCATTGGTCAGCCTGGGATTGATATATACAACTGGGTATCATCAGTATTCTGATAATACCTGACCCTGAACCTAAAGATGACTTCCCCTAGAGGCTTCATGTAAACAGAAAAGCAACTGCTCTCTAGAGCCCAACTGCAACCAAAGGGTCTCACATCTGGTTATCTGTGGGACAGAGCCTCTGAAAGCCACCAAATTTTTTTTTTTTTAATGCAACTAATAGTTTAAAACATGTCTTGTCAACAGATGTGGAGATGGCCATGAATTTAGATGGTTTTAAAAGGACAGAAAAGAACCAATAGCTACTACTCTTCATAGTTTATACAGCAATATACCTTACAAACATCTGAGATACAAAAGCGGAAGAAGACCCTCACCTTTCTGACTTACTTTCAAGCTTCCCAAATGCATTTGGTCCCACTAGGAGATGCAGAATGCTGGACTAGATGGGCTTTTGAGTCAATAAGTTATAAAGCATTCATTTCTAGAGCTCTGTTTCTTCCATTTTGCTGCTATGATTTGCCATTAATATTCATACCTTCTCTTTTGTTATGGAGAAAATCATCAGGGACCTGGCCCCATGACTTTGGAATCAGCTCCCTCTTTCTCTTTGCCTCGGTGAAAGTTTGATGGCCTTTAAAAGGATATTAAAGATCTTTTTATTCAACTAGTGGGCTAGTCTAAAGCCTGGTTTTCTTATCCTATTCTCATTCATCTTGCAATTCTTAAGTTAATACCTGCTACATTTTAATTTATGGATGTGTACACATTTGGTTGTAAACTATGAAGAGTAGTAGCTATTGGTTCTTTTCTGTCCTTTTAATATGCAAGATGGTTTATTTGTCTGTATCATTAATACTTGTTTACTAGTTTAACTTAATTTTATGGGATAGAATTTTGTAATGATTGTCTTTTTCTGATTCGTATCATGCCTTGGTAATATTATTGTTATTTGCTCATAGAGGCATTCAGATTATTAGTTTTCTAAATTATGGTTTTTCTCAACCTTTCCAACTGGTAAAGAGCAGGGAGACCTACTGTACTTCCAGATAATGAATTACTGTCAAGAACATACTGTACCAGTGTTTAAACACTTGCTGTACTGCCTTACACAATTTGAGCCAGTGACGTATTCTTGCTCCGTTTCCCATATATAGTCTTTTAAGATGACAGAGGACTCTTTTTTGACAGTCTCTATACATACCATCCATGTGAAAAGAGTAGGAAAGAGGTGACTCAAACTTTGAGCATCTTCCAAAAGCCTGTTCTATTGCTAACTTTTAATATTCAAAGTTAAATTGGGATTAAAGGGTCAAAGAAGAAAATTAGTTAGATTTTAATTCCATAGGGAATTTGTAGGGCTTCATCCTGATGTTTCATCAGCTATATTTTTAGAAGTTTATTTTCTCCTTTTACTGTAAATAAAACATGGGAAATAAGAGAACTTTCCACATCCAGCAAACACATGACATTTAAGCAGAATTTCCAGAAATAAGAGGATTACAACCATTTATCCTTGTATATTTTAATTATAAGTTTTCTAATATGTAGAAGTAAAGGAAGTTCTTCTTCGTCCAGCATATTATAGCTTGGACTTGGATCTAGGACAGAAAGGTAAAGTCTTCAAACTGAGATCAATGCATTCAATGTTGACCACAGCAGGGGAAGAGAAGGACATTGGTGCAAATAATTTCCCTTCTTCCACTTGCAGCAGTGCCTATTTGCTTGATCCAATTCACTTTCACAAGTGGAAGCAACCCTTATGTGGGTAAAAGAACAGATCTTGACTGAACCTAGCACTTTTTCACAATATTCCATAGAACTTTACTCAGGTACCTGTATGTGTGTTTTAGTCTGTTGAGAGTTAGCAAAGGAGCATTGTACTCAGTAATTCATATTTATTTCAAAGCTCAAGGATAGTTCAACGCAAATATAGCCAGAAAGGGTAGTATCTGTCTGTTTGCTTTTACAGGGTTTTAGATGTTTGTTATTTTAATGGAATGTAGTATTGTTTATAGTTGGTGGATTTTGCAATATTATTTTCTGTTTGTTCTACTGTTGTAAATGACCTTGAGTAGGCCCTATACAAGCAATTGTAATAAACAAAATAACTCACTTTGTGTAATGAATACCCAGATTCAAATATAATTGGTGGAAGTAAAAGAAGAAAAAACATATTGGGACGAAACATTTCTTCTTCCTGCAAAATACAATAAACAAAAAGATATATGAGAAAGGGAATAATACCACATCTGGAACAAACGTAAATCCAGCATCTCTAAGTGTCTATAAAAATAGGAACATTTTATAAAGCAAAAAATACTGGAAATGAATTCCATATTAGCCTGCCCCATTTCCCACCATAAATAGAGAGGATTCCAGAAAAGCAAGCATCCTTGGGATTACCGTTAAAATTGCTTTTTCTTGATCAATTAACAGAATTAAAGAGCAAATATTTGTTATCTGAGGAATTGCCAAAACATGCAAAGTGGCAATTGACTGATTATGTGCCACCAAGTCAGTGTTGATTCCTAGCCATTATACAGATAGATTTTCTCCAGGATAATCTGTCCCTAACCTGGTCCTTCAAGTCTTCCATTGCCATTGTAATCAGTCCATCCACCTTGTTGCTGGTCTTCCTCTTCTTCACTTTCATTCAACCTTTCCTAGCATTACAGACCTCTCCAGAGAGCTAGGTCTTCACATGTGTCCAAAGTATGATAATTTGAGCTTGGTCATTTGTGGCTTGAGTGAGAACTTTGGATTGATTTGTTCTGTGATCCATTTGTTTGTGTTCTTGGCTATCCATGTATTCTCAGAAGTCTTCTCTAACATCAGAATTCAAAAGTGTCAACCTTCCTTCTACCCTACCTCTTCAAAAGTCCAATTTTTGCTTCCATAGAATGTCACAGGGAAAACCATTGCCTACATGACTCTGATCTTTGTAGGACTGCGCATAAAAGGTCTGCACACAATTACAGCACATAAAACAATTTTGATGTCTTGATATAGGTCAAGAATCTGTTGATTTAAATTTCCATTAATTCAACAAAATATTTTCAAGAAGAAATTGGTACATTTGATTAATTGTTGGAGACATGATGCTTAAAATGTAACAGTGGTTCATAAGATGTTGTCTTATGTTAGAGAAGCCCTCTTTACACATATTAAGTATTACTGTGGAGGAAGCCTGAGTACTGTCACTGTCAACAGTATATAAATTGCCCAATGGTTTCTTTATGACTGAAATCCCCAGAATACTTTTAATGTTAAATTAAACATACTGGCTAAACTAATAATATTGTTGAGATTAACTTTTTTTCCTTGAAAGATATGTGGACTGAGGCTTGGCCATTGGTGCTGCCTTTTGGAACAATATGAGATGTACACAGTAAAGTAACTGAGTAACACTAAAGAATGTACTACTCTAACATACCAATTGTCAAATTAGACAACATAATCACAAAGAAAATATAGTAACATAATGTATTATTATTAAGGCTCACCCACTATGCATGAAGAAGCTAGAATTCTATTTTTAAATTAGGCATACTGAGATTCAAATATATCATTAATTGTCTGCAACAGAACTATGCAATTATCTCAACAAATGCCATGTTATCAAGCATTTTTATTCTTCCATAATAAAAGGAAACAAGCTTAAGTTAATCTCCTTTTAAAAATGCTTACAGAAGGAAGAAATAGAAGACATTCCCTAAACATCATCATTGTTCTCTGTAATTCTGAAGTTATGAGGTAAGTGTGAAACAATATATACAGTAGCTAGCTTCATCTGTGCACAAAAGGGAGGTGACAGCATAGTTTGGAAAGGGGAGGGCAGCTCTTTCTGTTGTTAAGGAGTGCACTGTTTTTTAATTGTCTCCAAGGGTGGCAGTGGATATGACCATAGTTGACAAGGCCCAATTCTGTGGTTCTTTTTCACCTTTTGGCAGGCTTTAAAGGACTAAATACAGTACACTAACTTTTCCTCTTAACCCACCCCAAATAGAACAAACCAACTTGACTCAGGGATTTAAGAAGTAAACTGTGTGCCTTAATCCTTCACCTCTTAATTCCCCAAGCCCCCTAAATTAGACTGAAAATGTTGGCCTTGTGCATTCCACAAGACCACAAAAGGAATGCTGGTGACTGCAGGTTGCCTATCATTGGCTTAGGAAATCTCAAAGTTTTACAAAAATACAGAAACATTTAAAGGTTAACAAAAAGTCCAAAGGACAAGAGGTTCCCCCACGCCCCAAAAAACACTCAGTGAGAACTGAGTGATGGGTGAGTCTCTTGGAAAGGGATTTATGGAATATAAAACAGACATACTCCATTTTGCAATGTTTTATTACACATCCTGTTTTCATGGCTGAATACCAAGCTCAACTGCTGCGTGACTGTAGCTATGCCAGCTCTCTCCAATGTGATCTATGTATTGGATTATAACTCCTAGAATTCCCAGTTAGCTGTATGTACAGCTTACTGAACTGAGATGACCAATACAAAAATTGTTCCTGCTTTAGGTATGAAGCAAAGATCATTAATTTTGGGAGCTGAGCTTTCAAACAGAATTGTTTAAGTACAGCATAAATTACATGGGAAAAATATGATAAAAGTTGCTGATATACCTTCCAGTTGGCCAGCTTTTGAGATTCTATAATTTTTATAACTGCACCCATCAAGATACCTAAAAAGAAAAAAAAGATAAAGAACTATGAGATTTATGAAAAGCTCTGGCCCATCCAAATGAGTGTTTTGAGTGACTAATACTATGATAGTGACATTGGAGTTAGGTTATAATGAATGTGATAGTTGTTTAATACAATCTCCTACCCAAAGGTACAATCTTCTCTGCACAGTAGTTCTGCCCACCACAGTCCCTTGATTAAACCATGCAATAAAATCATTCATTTGTTCATGTGATAACAGGAAGTTATAAACTACTGCATATGAAAGAGTCATCTAGAAGTAAGTAGTCTCAAACAATGGTCCCGTATTCCTTCTTCCTCATCCTTACTGGGCCTGCAATTTTCTAATAAAGCTCTGACTTCTGGGCTAATCCTGTCTGTCTTGATCTTATTAATAATAGATCCAATCTGCTGAGAGACCAGAACAGGAAACTGAAAACAGCTTTATAGTTGCTATTGGTTTAGCTACTCTGAAAACAAAGAATGATGTCACAACCTCTAGAGCTGGGCAACTAAGGAGCCTAGTATTTATTTATATATTTATTATGTTTATGTAGCAGCTCATTTGCCAAGCAACTTTGAGCAACTGACAACAAAAACAACCCAGTAATATGGAAAATAAGTATTCCAAAAAAAAAAAAGCAAATAACACAAGGAAACCAGGCACAAATACTTATAATGCCAGCGTCAAAATTCACTTCACCCATACTGATGGCTCATACAATATCCTGCCCCAGTGACTGAGGGAAGAGTCATGTTTTCAGGGACTTTCCAAAGGCCAGCAGGACTCTAGTCATCTGGATCTCTATCCAGCAACAGAGAAGGTATTTCAGAATTTTAATTCGAAGACCAAAGGATTTTATGTTGATTACAAAGCTAAGTGAAGCAGCTAGGATAATGATGTAATGTGCTTTCCAGCTCAAAGGAAAACTAGTGTGATGATATCATGACCATATTCATATACAGTCATTTCACTTTCCTGTCCCTTATGTCCTCAGAACAGTTAATTTTTTATAGCAAGGTCTTTAGAGAAGAACTGGATTTATATAAAAAGAAAGAAAAAGGCGCATACACTGATAACACAATAATAATGCTAATAATATTTCTAAATATCCAGTCAAAAGCATGGGACAAGCAGGTGATTCATCATGATCATGTGGAATTGCTTCTTTTGCTGCCTGGAAACAAAACTGCTAATATTTAGCTTTTATCTTATCACCATTGTCACCTTTTGACAATGCTCTAAAGAATTTCTTTGAAGGACTCTGAAGTAGCACAAGAGTACCACTACAACATTTCTAGGAAGCTGTAAAGAAGTAAAGCAGTAAATTACAAAATGCAATGTGGGTTGCACCAGCCAAACAGAGAGATTTCCAGATAAATGACACAAAACTGGGACATTCAGAAATATATTTTTAAACAGGGAAAAAACAGTTTCTTATTGAAATAATCAAAAGAATATCAAAGACTGCTTTCCTTTGTACACATTTCGAGATATTAATATTTGATTACCTTGAAAACCCTGTAGCAAAATTGTATAAATGCAAGGAATTGAATCTCCAGAAGAGACCATCAAAATAATTAAATCACAAAATATAAGGGTTGGGAGGGATTTTAGAGATCATCTAGTCCAATCCCCTTCCCACTGCAAGAATTCATTACTATGGTATAGCCCACAGATGGCCATCCAGCCTCTGTTTATGCACTTGTAGTGAAGGACTGTTCACTTCCTAAGCAATCTATTCCACTGTAGAATAGCTCTGTTAAAAATATTTTTCTAATATCCAACCAAAATCTTTGTAATTTAAACCCTTTGTTTCTTATCCTGTTTTCTGAAACAGTTCTATTCCATCTTTTACATGACAGCCCCTAAAGATACTTTAAAATAGTTATCATTTTATGATTGCTGGTTGTTGTTGTTAGGGGGCGAGGATTCTGACACCTATACTCCTTGGTAAGTAGAGTCTGTCAACGTCACTGTGTGGATGAAAGGCAAGTTTTATTGTTGTTACTTTTCTGGTTCTCCTTTCCAGGGCTTCTAGTTCTGCTTGAGCCCAATCCACTATTCCATCTGTGTATTTAATTACTGGAATTGACCAGGTGTTAATTGCCTTGATGGTATTTCCTCCACTGAGTTTGGACTTTAAGATCTTCTTCACTCTTCTGATGTGCATCTTTCTGCCTCCTCCAGTAATGACAACGAACAGCTCACTTCCACCGCCCCGAAGCTGAAGAACAATGCCATCTACATATCGTTACCCTCAGCCACTCACCTCCACCTCCAACATCCATACATCCAACTATTTGAATCAACATACTCCAATGCAATCTGTTCCTCTGCCCCAATTTTCTGGAAAATTTGCTCTTTCTTCTTCAGCCCTGCTAACTTTTCAGCATCTTTCTGTTTCTCCCACCCTCCCCTCCTTTATAATTTTGGACTTTTGGTTTTTGTTCCTTTCTTGGAACAAAATTGGCAGTGCAGTTATTGTTGTCACTTCCTGGCATGCACTGTTTGGGAATAATGAATTTTATCATACAAGATATTTATGTAGTGCATAATTTCAGG